TAAACCGCAAGAGGTCATTGAGAGAGGCCGGAAGAACAGAGCAAGACAAGAGAGAAAACAGAGAGAGAGCCCAGTAGAGGACCAGAGCTCATTCCCGCCACTAGATCCTCTCAAAGTTTCCGTACCCCAAAAGAGGTCTAGTGTCTTACAATCTTAGCCGCATAGAAAGTGGCTCTATGTCTTATGTTAGTTCTGCCATTTTTTTTTTTTTCCGTTTGAAGGTATTCCAAGTGTATAGGCACAATCAGGCCCTGCAGTGTTTTACAGGACTGCGTTTCCCAGAATTCAACAGTGCGTGGTTGACTTGTTGCTAAAGGGGTGGTGTGTGTTTGTGTGTGTGTGTGTGTGTGGAAGGCTTATCAGACCGGTGCAGGGACTGGCTCCAGAGCAAGACGAGGTTTGTTTGGCTTCGCTGTGGTTGCCCCGGAGACGGGAGGGTGTATAAGGGCTTATTATGGTATGGTGGTTTTTGGAGCGGTTACGAGGGCGGGCGGTGAATAGAAAACATAGTAAAAAACTTAAAATAAGACATGAAAAAAAAGTGCAATCTCGGACCTCAAACAACCCAAAACGCACTGGTTTTAAGTTGGAAAATCTGGATTGGTGCCGGCAAGACTGAAGTGGAACATATTGTACATTCATTGAAGAAATATATAAGAATATTAACATTTGGTCTCTGCCCTTCATGGACCAACAGCTCTATGTGTTTGATTCTCTGATCTGTGTTGGTGAATGGACAACTTTGTGAAGTCCTCCGAGATAAGTATTGTGATGTAGGGCTATTCTTGGGTTTCATATGACGTCAGGGCAGTGATGAATAACAAACGTAGGACAGGACGTGACGTATCCCGGCGGTGCAGTCTGTCGGGTTATAGTAGAAGAAGAAGTTGTTTATACATGGAGATATAGTAGAAGAAGAAGTGGTTTATACACGGAGATATAGTAGAAGAAGTGGTTTATACATGGAGATATAGTAGAAGAAGAAGTGGTTTATACACGGAGATATAGTAGAAGAAGAAGCGCTGTCAAGATGCCATCTTTTTGTGCGGTGTACGTTTGTAGCAACCGCACAAATAGAGAGAAAGACCAGAGTTTGTTCATGTTCCAACTGTGGTCTCATATAAAGGAGGACACTTTGAAAAAATCACTGGAATGAGGCGGGCGAGGTGGATCAAGGCTTTCCCAGATAAGCGCCCCCTGCAGGCCACCCCAATGAAACGCAGACATTTCTTCTGTTTTTCTTTCCAAAAATGCCTGAAATCAAGACTCTTTTGAGAAATATTTGTTAGTACTGCCTTAGAATTGAGTGTCCCCGATTAAGACTGTTCCAACAACCGTACACCGCACAGGAGGAGAGCCTTTGACTCCAAAACAAACTTTACATGGTTTTCAATGGGAGCAAAACTGTCCCACCTCTGCTCATGCGCCCCCTACTGGCCAGTTTAATGAAACACAAGAATGCAACGATGAATTAAATTTAATTGAAGTTGAAGAATATCATTTAAATGTTTTCATACTGCAGAGAGGACCCTTGATTTTTGGCAACTGTGGGAAAGGTTGGCGTGTTGTTTGAACGCTCCATATGCTTACAATAAACCAGGACTAAACCAGGACTTAACCAGGACCTTAGCAGGACTAAACCAGGACCTAACCAGGACTTAACCAGGACTAAACAAGGACTAAACCAGGACTAAACCAGGTTTGAACATAAAAATGCGAGATGATACGATCGGTGAAGTACACAGTCTATGTAAAGTCCGCAAAGGAGCTTACTAGCTCAAATTACATTACTCATTTCTGGTTTTTATTCCTGTTGCGCATGCTTACCCATGTACCAGTAACGTGCATCCCTGAATATAAATGTTTATAAAAGTCCATAAATGTCGTAGAATGTGGAGTGTCCTGGATCATCCCCACTGTCCTTAGACCCAGGAACAACTCTGAAAAACCCAGTGGGAGAAAAGTGAGAAACCTTAAAGCGTCATTACCTCACCTTATTTTTGTATTTATTAGTTAAATTCAATCCATGTCCATGCAGTGCATTGGGATGTACGTCCTTTTGAAGAAAAAGTAGCGCAGATTTGTGCTGGCGTGTCATTTTATTTTAGATCGGATTTTCGTCCAACAAGGAAGAGAATTTATTTCGGGACCAGATTGTGACCAATCACAGCGGACCACTGGCCCCCACTTTCTTGAGAAAAGCTGCAGGTCTCTCATTTTCACAGACAACTGAGGTAAACACATGGATCTATAATAATCACTGGATAGAGTATTACTAGCTTATAGCTGTCCCACCCATGGCCACAGGGGGCGCTGTGGTACTGCAGACTGAATTCACGAGGGCTACCCAGAAAAAAGTCCCATAGAACTCAATGTAAACTAAAACAGCTCGACCTCAGCTGACAGAGAACCTGACAGAGAACCTACAGCTTTCAGAAAGATCGTATTTTGTGGGGATTTTAGTGTCCCTTGTCATAGTGAACTTTTTTCTTCTTAAACCCTTCAGTTTTCTTTAAATCCACACTTTACTGCCACAAACTCTGCTCCTTTCCTTCCCGCTCTGACTCCGCTTTGCTGCTGCTCTGATTGGTCAAAGCGCAGCCGAGCCCCTCTGTGCACGTGCATGAATGCCACACACGCGTATTTGGCGTAATGCATCATGGGAGCTCGTCCACTGCGCAGAACCGGGAGGACCAGACGATGCCCAAATATAGGCCAGTTCTGCTAATCTCCCGGTCTCCATGAAGTCCCATGCGCTGCTGAGCACAAGCCATTCATTTGAATAGGACGCCATCTTGGATCACCGGGGATTGGGTAAACACGCGGCGGAGGCTAACCTGAAACTTCCCGTGTCTTCGTCACCGGTTACTACTTACTCAGCGAAACATCCAAAAGAAAGTCTCGTTCCTCCGCGCTTTTCCCGGTTCTATCATTCTATGGTCACCCAGCGAGCCCAGCGCTCACATCCGAAAATGTCTCAAAGTTAGTTAGTGCAGCTTTAATCTGAAAGCATTATTGTTTTTCAGTTTTCCCGCGAGACAGACCACCCACTCTGCACAAGTGAAAGTCTTATTAGTTTGAAAGGGAAAGACATTAGCATTACACACAAGGCCACTGTAGCCTCACAGCACTACACATGTGAGATCCATATTTCTCTCTGCCTTTGTCACTTCTGCTTCCTCCACTCCTCTCTCTACTATCTCTGAGCAAACACCACTCTCTTCTCCCACAGTCACACACTAACACACACACACACACACACAGCACACACCCACAAAATGCTCTTTCTACACTTTCTGATGGGAAGAACAGCGTTCCCACAGCGCAGACCGGCCCATAATAAACACCTCGATGCATGAGATAATCCGCTGTCACTTACTGCTGCGTTTTGGGGATGCATGAGTCCGCTCCGTCAGCCGCAAAACACACTCTGACGACATGGGAAGCGGTCTCAGAGCTGGGAAAGTCCTGCTGCAGCCTGAGGGAGACGACTGGACGCTTATACATCTGCTTGTTTGAGCAATCTTTTTCACCATTGCACTGTTTTTTTTAGTGCACGGTTTTAGAAAAGATTCTCAGATTGTGTGACTCGGCTCATTCGTTTGACCGTGTTTTTGTCTGAGATTAATGTAAATGCAGAAAGAAAATTCCCAAGTCTCTATTCCACTTTTTGGTAAGAGACTTTGTTCCCAAGTTATGTTTAAAACTGCAGCATTCCACTCATTTAGGGCCGTAACAAGTTTGTCTTTTGTCTTGGAAAAAACAGAATTCCCATGTGTGATGCGTGTGTGAGCTCATTATGAATGTGTGTATAGAGAGAGATTGAAAACATGGGGCTGGGTAGTTTTATTTTAACTGGTGGTATAATAAAACTAAACCAGGACTTAACCAGGACTTGACTGTATCTAAACCAGGACTCAACCAGGACTCAACCAGGACTTAACCAGGACTTAACCAGGACTAAACTATATCTTAACCAGGTCTAAACCAAGACTTAACTATGTCTAAACCAGGACTTAGCTAGAACATAACCAGGACTAAACCAGGACATAAACAGGACTAAACCAGTACTTAACCAGCACTAAACCAGGACTAAACCATGTCTAAACCATGTCTAAACCATGACTAAACCAGGTCTTAACCAGGTCTTAACCAGGGCTTAACCAGGACTAAACCAGGACTTTTCCAGGACTTATCCAGGACTTAATCAGGACACAAGCATGTCTAACCCAGGACTAGACCAGGACTTAACTGTGTCTAAACAAGGACTAAATCATGTCTAAACTAGGGCTAAAGCAGGACTTAACCAGGACTTAACCAGGACTTAACCAGGACTTAACCAAGACTTAACCAAGACTTAACCAAGACTTAACCAAGACTTAACCAAGACTTAACCAAGACTTAACCAAGACTTATCCAGGACTTATCCAGGACTTATCCAGGACTTCACCAGGACATAAGCATGTCTAAACCAGGACTTAACCAAGACTTAACCAAGACTTAACCAGGACTTAACCAGGACTTAACCAGGACTTAACCAAGACTTAACCAAGACTTAACCAAGACTTAACCAAGACTTAACCAAGACTTAACCAAGACTTAACCAAGACTTAACCAAGACTTATCCAGGACTTAACCAGGACATAAGCATGTCTAAACCAGGACTTAACCAGGACTTTTGCATTCCTGTTTTACAACACCCTGCTCAGGGACTACAGGTGTATTAAGCGCTGCTTCTACAACAGGTACAATGCCTCTCTCCTTTGGGCCAATGTTTATTGTCCCTGTACAAATATAAATCATCATCATATAGAGGAAACCATAGGCAGGCACGAGGAGAACATGCAAACACCACCACGAAATACACTGAAATACACTCCCCAGCTCTATTGTTCCCATTTTGAACTTGTGTAAATTGTAAATGATCACAATTAGCTAAAGAGAAGCAGTCGACACAAAAACAAAAGTTTGGTGAAATCACCGTTGAGAATTCCCCGCTGTCAGCTGGAAAATCGCTGACGTCTTTGGGAATCTCCTCTTGCCTCGTGCTGCTGGGACAGTCCTCCAGACTGTGAGGGAGGAGTCCACTTCAGGGTGTGTGGACCGGGGGAGTGGGCCATAGGAGAGTGGGCCATAGCAGGAGAGTGGGCCATAGCAGGAGAGTGGGCCATAGCAGGAGAGTGGGCCATAGCAGGAGAGTGGGCCATAGCATGAGAGTGGGCCATAGTAGGGGAGTGGGGAGTGGGCCGTGGTCTGTGCCCAGAGCCAGGTCCACACTGGTCTAGACTCCAGCAGCAGAGGCAGACTCCTGGCAGACAGCAGAGCAGCTATAAAAGCAGTTTACAAGAGGAAAGTGAAGCAGAGAACTCACATGTCCTGTCTCTATTTGCAAAATCAGCTTTTTGTGTCTCTCTCTCTGACTGTCTCTCTGTCTCTCTTTCTCTCTCTCTGACTGTCTCTCTGTCTCTCTTTCTCTCTCTCTGACTGTCTCTCTGTCTCTCTTTCTCTCTCTCTTTCTCTCTGTCTCTCTCACTCTGTCTCTTTGTAAAATGGGATTTTTGAGGTTTTAATGAGGGAAGTTCCAATATCACTTTCATGAGATCCAATCTGATTCTAGGGCTGCACGATTTTGTGATATTTCAGATCAAAGTAAGTGCAAGCGATTACACCATGACTTGTACTTGGGCTACATGATTGATTGCAAATTCATTTTTTAACCCTGACACATAAAATGGTCTAAACCAGCGGTTCTTAACCTTGTTGAAGGTACCTAACACACCAGTTTTCTACGCACATTCACCAAACCCCTTTTGTGTTTGATATTATATTTTATGCAGGTGAGCCGAGGATGAGCATCACCTTTTTCAAAGAACGAAACCAACACAATGCATAAAACTTACAACCGGCTTGTTTTGAGTGTTGCGAAGCAGCGTGCTTCAGGAAGAGCCACACACGCTCCGGAGCATCAGGACTGTTTGCCCATCACTTTTGGTGTTTGGACCTCTGAGGCAAAAGCTCTGCCCTAAGACCGACTCTCCGAACCCCAAGGGTTCGATCGAACCCAGCTTAAGAACCACTGGTCTAAACATACAATATATAAATAATCACATTGCAATCAAAATATTGGTCAGAAATATCCATATTTGTTGTTTTGCAGTGATGTTCCATGACAGCCACACATGCAGTCCACCGACAGAAGCTCTCTGTCTCTCTCTGTCTCTCTCTCTGTGTGTCTCTCTCTGTCTCTCTGTGTGTCTCTCTCTGTCTCTGTGTGTCTCTCTCTCTGTCTCTGTGTGTCTCTCTCTCTGTCTCTCTGTCTCTCTGTGTGTCTCTCTCTCTGTCTCTCTGTGTGTCTCTATCTCTCTCTGTGTGTCTCTCTCTCTCTCTCTCTGTGTGTCTCTCTCTCTGTCTCTCTGTGTGTCTCTCTCTCTGTCTCTCTGTGTGTCTCTCTCTCTGTCTCTCTGTCTCTCTGTGTGTCTCTCTCTCTGTCTCTCTGTGTGTCTCTATCTCTCTCTGTGTGTCTCTCTCTCTCTCTCTCTCTGTGTCTCTCTCTCTCTCTCTGTGTGTGTCTCTCTCTCTGTCTCTCTCTCTGTCTCTCTCTCTCTCTCTCTGTGTGTCTCTCTCTCTGTCTCTCTGTGTGTCTCTGTGTGTCTCTCTCTCTCTCTCTCTGTGTGTCTCTCTCTCTGCCTCTCTCTGTCTCTCTCACCCCCCTCCCCCCTCTCTCTCCCTCTGTCATAAAGTCCTGGCTGGTGGTGTGTTAATGCAGAGCACGTGTCCAGGCTCCAGGCTGTAGGTGGTCCTCCCCTGGTTCCTCTGGTTCCTCCACAGAAGCAGAGTCTGTGTGATCTCTGGAGGTGGCAGAGACTTTTTATATTTGTTCTTTTAGCGCAGCGTGTGGGCATCAGCAGCAGCAGCAGCAGCAGCAGCAGTTGTGGGCCGAGCTGGCAGCACTTCTGAGGCAGGTTGGCGTCTCCATGGGCAGGGCGCGATACGACAAAGCCTGGATTCTTTTAAACGGGTTTCAGAGCCACAGTCACCACGAGAAAGGAAGCATGGATTGAGTGCAAGAAAGTGGGAATTTTAGTGCGAAAGATGTTGCATTTTTATATTTGTAATCACACACAGTCGACATAAAGTCAGATTCAGATTGTTTGCCATTTGCAGTAAAACCACATTGGAATACGTAAACAAAACAAGCTAAAAAGTCCCAAAAACAATCATCACTGTGAAATATAGCAACAATAACAACTTCAACACAAGTGCAAGATCATTAAAGTGCTTAGTTCCGACTGATCACAGTTTGTGGAAAGAAGCTGTTAGCATGTTAGCCTGTTAGCATGTCCTGCATCTCAGCCAACAATATTTATTTGATAGGACCAATGCACATTAATGAACATCAGTATAAAACCAATGTATTTGCCGGATTATAGCGACCAAGCTAGTTTTCATCCGTAGTCCCTAAAGGCAGATCTTAGTCGTCTGCCAGAGGGAAGAAGCTGGAACATGGCTTTTCCAGGGGCCCAAAGAGTCATTGATTAAACAACAGAGGAACAACTTGATTACATTTATGGAGTTACAGTATTAATACGCACTCTATTAATAAGATGGGGCCTTTGTTCTCCATCCAGAATTGGACCCTAAATAACAGTAGTCAACGGGAAGTACAAAAAGTAGCACTGTTTTTCCAGATCTTGGCTTCTCGTCTGCATATTTTATTGTGGGAATAATAACACCATTTTTCAATCTCAGCTTTTATGGTAGCTGTAGTTCTGGAACAGTCTTTGGTGAAGTGTCACTCGCAGAAAAAACAGATTTGTCGCTGATTTCAAAGCCAGATCCCGAGAATAAAGTGACGGGCAATGCTAACCTGCTAGCTCATTGAAGCAAGAATAAAATCTAAAGTATCAAGATCTGTATGTTGAGATCTATGTCAAAAAATATTCCAAAAGTTTCCATAAATATCGACAATAAAAGTCAATACGAAGTCGATTCTGTTCATAACCTTTCCCACAAACAGAGTAAAACATTATCGTTGCTTGTGTCTCAAAGGTTCTGGACTTTTCCGTCTTCGATCCTTTCACCTGTCGCTCACCGGGATCAAAAGACGTTTGTGTTTTCTTTAGTTTAGTTTCAATAGTTCCGTGAGTCGAGTCCCCTCCATCCTTCACGCTGCATTGTTCCTCATGGACTTTGATGTTTTTCTTCTTTTATGTCGCCGGAGACATATCTGCAGCCTGAGTCATGACGTTTTTCTTCTGAAAGGCCAAACTAAAATTTCTCTAATCAGCATCTCTCACTCTCTCTCTCTCTCTCTCTCTCCTTCCTCTCTCTCTCTCTCTCTCTGGGTTCAGTCTGCAGCTTCTTCTTTCTTCTTCTTTTTGTTTTTTCCTGAGATCAGTGCAAGAATAAAGACCACATCCTGCTCGGCATAAGGGCAGAATCTCAAGTCCTTCTCTCTGGTCTCTCTCTGGTCTATCTCTCTTTGGTCTCACTCTGGTCTCACTCTGGTCTCACTCTGGTCTCTCTCTGGTCTCTCTCTGGTCTCTCTCTGGTCTCTCTCTGGTCTCACTCTGGTCTCACTCTGGTCTCTCTCTGGTCTCACTCTGGCCTCACTCTGGTCTCACTCTCTTTGGTCTCACTCTGGTCTCACTCTGGTCTCACTCTGGTCCCACTCTGGTCTCTCTCTTGTCTCTCTCTGGTCTCTCTCTGGTCTCTCATTGGCCTCTCTCTGGTATCTCCCTGGTCTCTCTCTGGTCTCTCTCTGGTTTCTCAATGGTCTCTCTCTGGTCTCTCTCTGGTCTCTCTCTGGTCTCTCTCTGGTTTCTCAATGGTCTCTCTCTGGGATCTCCCTGGTCTCTCTCTGGTCTCTCTCTGGTTTCTCAATGGTCTCTCTCTGGGATCTCCCTGGTCTCTCTCTGGTCTCTCTCTGGTCTCTCTCTGGTCTCCCTCTGGTCTTTCTCGGGTCTCTCTCTGGTCTCTCTCTGGTCTCTCTCTGGCCTCTCTCTGGTCTCTCATTGGCCTTTCTCTGGTCTCTCTCTCTGGTCTCTCTCTGGTCTCTCTCTGGTCTCTCATTGGTCTCTCTCTGGTCTCTCTCTGGTCTCTCTCTGGTCTCTCTCTGGTTTCACAATGGTCTCTCTCTGGGATCTCCCTGGTCTCTCTCTGGTCTCTCTCTGGTCTCTCTCTGGTCTCTCTCTGGTCTCTCTCGGGTCTCTCTCTGGTCTCTCTCTGGTCTCTCTCTGGCCTCTCTCTGGTCTCTCATTGGCCTTTCTCTGGTCTCTCTCTCTGGTCTCTCTCTGGTCTCTCATTGGCCTTTCTCTGGTCTCTATCTCTGGTTTCTCAATGGTCTATCTCTGGGATCTCCCTGGTCTCTCCCTGGTCTCTCATTGGTCTCTCATTGGCCTTTCTCTGGTCTCTATCTCTGGTTTCTCTCTGGTCTCTCTCTGGTCTCTCTCTGGTCTCTCTCTGGTCTCTCTCTCTGGTCTCTCTCTGGTCTCTCATTGGCCTTTCTCTGGTCTCTATCTCTGGTCTCTCTCAAGGAAGTGAAAGTGTAACTAATTGTAGATATTTCTCTGGTAAACCATGGGTGGATTCACATGAAACTAAGACCGTCATAAAGTTTCACATCTGCTTCATCTCTACACGTCCACTTTGCTCTGTTTTCTCTCTCATGAATGTGTCACATCATTCTAAAACATGAACGCAGTCGACTGAAACGCTGTGCAGAGGTGTCAGTAGAGAAAAGGAACATGTTTTTTGTTGTCTGTTTTTTCAATTTGTATTATTCAAGCAACAGTATATAAAAATGTGGCCAAAAGTGGTACTGCAGCCTCTCCCACTCTCCCTGACTCAGGTTGCCAGATATGCAGACGAATCCAGCTGGGACCATAACAGCTGAATAGACAAGAGTTTTGTCAACAACAAATCTATAACCAACACCTTTTTCACAAAGATAGAAATCCTGCTTTTATTCCTTGTTTTGTCGTTAATGATTTGAGAATCATAACAAGACCTTTTTTAGTTCTGCGCCACATGGTACTTTACCAGTGAGATTAGCTCCACACGGTGAGTTCTGGCGCCCGGATCACAGACTTTTTGATTGGTGAAACGGTGGAGGGCGGGACATCGAAATGAAAACAATAATAAGATCCAAATATCTCGTTATCAGTTAAAGAAATATGTACAAAGAGCATGTTTTATTAATGCCTTTTGACAGATTAGGGCCCTTTAAAGATGACTTGACATAAAAATCTTACACATTGCTACTTTAACAGCATTGATAATAATTGTGGTTGTTTCTTTGGGAATTATTTCCCAAAGAAACAACCACATCATTAATTTTTTTCCATTTTTATTCCAGTTTTTACTTGAGTTTTTTTCAAATTGTGATAAATATAGCAGCACATTTCATACGTTTCTTCCATTTACTCAGAGTGAAGACCTCAGGATACTTTCCAGGCAGGATCAGGGTCTCCCCCACTGTCCCCTCAGATGCACACATATACACACGCAGACACACATACACACTAAACCTAATGGTAAAAGGAATCATTTGATGAGACCACATGCACCACACATTAAAATAATTTTAATGTATTAATTCAAATGTCTTTTTGATGTATACACTTGTATACATTTTTGTATACACAACAAAAATTGAGGGGGATATCCTCTGTCTGATGACAGACAAACAACTGATAAAATAATTCCTTGAGTTTTCAGCTGGATTTGGTGCGTATCTGGCAACCTGAGTCATGGAGAGCGGGAGGGAACTACAAGATAGTGAGTGACATTGCAGTACCATTTTTACATACGGCTCCTTTAATTCATTCATCTGTTTTAAATCATTTGGAAAATCTAAAAATCCCTAAACAATAATAATAGGCGGCAGTAGCTCAGTTGGTAGAGCGTTGGCCTTTGAGCCAGAAGGTCGTGGGTTCAAGCCCCGCTCAAGACTTTCACCATTAACTCCCACTGACTACTGTCGTTGTGTCCTTGGCAAGACACTTAACCTCTGGGAACACCAGCCACAGTGGGGCGGCTGCGGTTGTAAAGTGCCAAACTGCCGTTGTGTCCTTAGGCAAGACACTTCACCCCCATTGCCTAGAATGAGTCTAGTGTGTATGAATGGTTGGTGGTGGTCGGAGGGGCCGATGGCACAGACTGGTTGCCTCGCTTCTGTCAGTGTGCCCCAGGGCAGCTGTGGCTACAGTAGTAGTTTATCACCACCGTGTATGGAGTGAATGAATAATGACACATGTGAAGCGTCTATGAGTGTCCAAAAAAGCGCTATATAAAACTGATGCATTATTATTATTACAATAATGCATTGGTTTTATATAGCACTTTTTTGGACACTCAAAGACGCTTCATTATTCAGTTACAACAAATACACGGTGGTGATAAACTACTACAGTAGCCACAGCTGCCCTGGGGCACACTGTGGCCACCGTAGTAGTTTAGTTTATAGTAGTAGTAGTAGCAGTATTTGTAGTAGTAGTAATACCCTGTGTACCTCACTGTCCAGTCCCAGGAAGATGATCATCATGAAGAAGAAGACTGACCAGAGCTGAGGGAGGGGCATCATGGCCACAGCGCGAGGGTACGCAATGAAGGCCAGGCCTGGACCTGAGTCAAAACACACTTCTATCACATTCTTCAACTTTTCTTTAAAGGGACAGTGTGTATGAATGAACAGCAGATGTTATAAATGGTGGATAGCACTCTCGCCTCTCAGAAAGAAGGTGAGTCACGGTAGTCTTTCTCTTGTTGGTGTATTCTTACTTTCTGTGTGTTTTTCTGCCTCTCTGCAGGAGCTGACCGCTACTACAATAACGTCTGTCAGATGATTGGGTATCGTCCATGGCCGTGTTTTACACAAAGTACACTGTGTCGATCCAATTGTCTGTGAAACTGTGTGTTATTGCTCTCTGCCGTTTCTTGCACACAGCGCAGCGAAGTGGCACGCTCTCTGCCAAAACAATTTCCAAGTGGTAACTTTTGTTTGTTACTTACGTGGCAATAAAAATGATTCTGATTCTGATTCAAATACAGAGAAGACATTGCCGTACAGGGACAATAAAGTGCACATTTACATTCACATTTATCCCACTGTGGCACAAACACACACTCGTCCCCTTCAGCTACATGTGCCTCATCCATCAGAATCTTATCCTCATTATCTGAGTAAACTTTTAGCAATGTTTTTTTTTTTAGGCCAAACGTGACATATACATTTCTTTATTGTGAGTTGTGAGATCAATAAAGTGTATCTATCTTATCTGTTTGGCATCAAGATTTAAGATAATATGATTTAAAACTGTCATGGTTGCAGTGAAAGATAGATCTATGTCCTGATTGGTCAGAGAGAATGTAGATTTTAAACACAGCACACGCCGGTACACTTCTATGTATCAACATCTATGAAAATATGAATTTCTCTACCTAATCATGAAATGTCTCCATAAAATGTTTTTATACTAATAATGAATGATCAAGTGTTTTTATAAAGTGTTCTTAAATCAATCATCAGGTGTTTGCATAAAAGGTCTTTTGTCTTAAGTGTTAGCCCGGGTCTAGTGAGTTCAGGGAAGATTCAAGGACAAGGTTGGTTTCTGTGCCATAGTATCCTTTTAGGAACAGAGTATGCCCCACTTATCATCGGGACAAGGGATGAGACCCAAAACCAGACCAGACCAGACTCGGGAGACTGGTAAGAAGCCAGATGACGTCTTCGCAGGAGGCATTGTGAGTTATTCGGAGCAGGGATAGTAGCTCAAAGAGTCTTGTATTAGTATTTAATATTAATATTGTTGTTTGAACTCTGGAAACTTGGTCTTCTTTTCTGGTCAAATTCTGAATCGCGTCCTATGAGACAAAAAGAGCTAAAGGAGGAAGTTTAGATATTCATAATTTACAGTGTTTTCCAAAACCCTGGTGTTTGCTTCAGGTTGCTCAGAGAATGGTTAATTTTCTCCTACAGTGTATCATCACATGTAGAAGGTTCTACTGAATATCTCTTATTAAATTGTATTTTGTCTGTTTTTTACCTGTTTAAACTGTGAAGCGCTTTGTGGCCTTGGTCTGTGAAAGGCGCTGTATAAATAAAGCTTACTTACTTACTTACTTACTTACTTACTTCTTTTGCGTAAAACAAAAACAGTTATTTTGGCAGTACGAGTTTTAAAATGAGAACTAAAAACCTGTTCCCACCCGACAGCGGCACAACAGTTATACATGCTGTCAGAGGTGATCAGGTGCCGAGGAAGCACGTGCCAACCAATCAGAAATAAGCACAGTGGTTCTGGGGTCACGAGCAGGAGTCAGAGGAGAAATACAACTGGAAACAGCTGAATCAAGAGTTTCAAGAGAAAACAACGTAGTTTTCCGATTACAGATTTCTGGGACAGATAATGGAAGACGTACTGACAGTGGACATAAAGCTTGCACCTTAAATTCACAATCTACTGTACCGTGACTGGATTAAACATGAGTACCATGAAAATCATGGTACTTCTGTAATCTGACGTCTCTGGAGGAACTTGTAAACCAGGAATGTGTTGTCTGCGCTGGTTCCACTAAACTCCTGTGGCTGATTTTTCATAAACGGCTTCTAAAACAAGGCGTGGCCAGGCGTATTAGGTGTGAACCGAGTTTTAAGGTTCTCCAGAACTTTGTCGGATTCAAATGTGTATTAAGGCAGACTTAAATATGAAAATGCTATTCTTAACCCACCTGACTCAGCCACTGTGTCGATGCTGACTCCCAGCTCATACGACATGTATCCCAGCACAGAGAATATGGCAAAACCAGCAAAGAAACTGGTGGCACTGTTGAGCAGGCACAGAGTGAAGGCATCTCTGTGGACAACAATCACACAACATAAACAAAGTACTTTTTCATGACTGCACGAGGCAGAAATGCTTTTAGACAACATTCTGATAACATTCACAATCAATGACTCACTTGAAGCAGTCGTTGTTGCGCCGGTTGTAGCTTCCCAGTGAAGGCAGGCAACCTGTACATACAGCGTAGGAGAATAAAATCTGACTGGCAGCGTCCATCCAAACCTATGGACATGTCAAAGTTAAGAGAGAAGAGACTTGTGTGTCTGGTTTCAAGTACTTTGCATTTGTGTTCATTTTGGACCTGGCTCTCTCCCACTTAAGGCCACACTCCACACCTGTTCGGGGCAATTCAGGGGCCAGTACAGGAGGCACATGCCAGACCTCCATCCATCCATCTTCTTCCCCTTAATCCATTTCTGGGTCGGGGGGGTGGCAGTCAGAGCTGCACCCAGTACACAGAGCACCAGCCCCTCACTGATCCTCCTGCAGGTGGTGAGTCCACAGGAGCTGAGATCTTTCAGTGGGAGCTTCAGACAAAGTGGGGTTAAGTGTCTTGCCCAAGGACACAACGACAGCAGTCATCAGTGGGAGTCGTGAAGTAGGTCTTACGGTGGGCTCGAACCCACAACCTTCAGGCCCAAAGGCCAATGCTCTACCAACTGAGCTACTGTCGCCCCTGCCAGACCTATTGTACATAATTTTAGTGGTAGGGGAAACCAGAGTACCTGGAGGAAACCTACGCAGACACGGGGAGAACATGCAAACTCCACTCAGAAAGACCCTGTTCCGACCAGGATTCGAACCCAGGACCTTCTTGCTGAGAAGAGAGAGTGCCGGTGTGACAATAACTTGGAGAATGTCTTATGGCTTTGTCTTTTGTGACAGTTTGCTTTTGTTGAGACAGCAGTTGGAGGGTTTGGTTTAGATCTTAAAGGTATACAGGAGGATTATCTGCTTCGGGTGGATCACAATCCTCACACCTCGTTTACTACTTGCTCTACTGCGCATCACATCAGCCATCATCACAAACAGAGCAGAGGAAGAAATCGGCCCGAGCGCACAGGCTCAATGGGCATGTAGCGCACTGTTCTCTGCGTGCCGCACTGTTTGAACTTGAACATCTTGTGAGAGCTACCCAACAAGACGGTAAATCGCAATCGACGTATTGAGCCCCCCTGTCCCATTGAGTGACCCCAACTTTATCATAATCGGACACCCAACGCTGTGGCGGTGAAGTATGAGAGCTAAAGCCTGCGGTGCGATAGATTTCTGCGAAACATACTTTAAAGCTGGTATTTGCTCTTCAGATCCTCCTGCTCTCCAGTTACACACATACACAGAGAAACAAATATACTGTTCAGGATCGAGCCAGAGAAGCTGAGCTGTTTGCAAAGGGCTCTGTGATAATAATGTATCAAACTAAATTTAAATAAAACAATCTGAGTTCCACTGAACGTTTCATTGAGTTTGGGATCACCTGAGGATCAGACAGGCGACTGGGATCAGGCCACAGGTAGAAGCGAATCCCGTCAGCAGCACCAGGCAGAGTGACGCCGCGGATCAGCAACGCCACCATCATGAGGTACGGGAATGTGGCAGTGAAGTACACCACCTGCAGGACACAACAACACATCCAACAGTATCAAGTCCATGTCGGCCCTAATGATAATAATAATATATTTTGTTTCTTTGACGTCTTTCATGAACCCTCAAGGTCGCTTTACACATCAAGTAAAAGGTACAGTTAAAGACGGTTGAAATACAGTAGCGTTAAAAAGACCCCGAACAGAGGTTGCTGTAAGTAAGTACTCAAATTTGACAAAATATGGTATTTCTGAATCAAAACGTCGGCACGCCAGCTTCATGAAAAACTGCAGCTTGCTCCACATTCAGCGGTTTGTGATCATTACGTTATAGAAATTGAAAAAAAGAAAAACTGATAAAAGAGTTTTGTGTCTAACTATGTCAGAGGTGACTAGGATATGTTTTCATGTTTGTAAAATGTGCTTGGTTTGTTCAATTTTCAGCTTTTATCTTTAACCAATGTTCATCTCATTAAACACTGTAAAAGTGCATGATATTGTTGACTAGTACATATTGATTGTCATGTACAAGGCATATAATAACCTTAGTCCACCTTGTGTTCAGAAACATTCTAAACTAAGAGAAAGTCAGTACAGCCTTCGGGGAACGGGTTATTTCAAAAAACACTGGGCAAGAACAAACATAATGTGTAGATGCGTCTCAGTGAGTGGAGTCAGGTTATGGAGCAATCTGGACGACCATCTAACTGATTGACTGGTTTTTGATGATGTCACTGATTCTCAAGACCCACGGAATATTACGCGCTAAGACTATGTGAAATATGAAACATATTCTGATTAGACTGGACTGTCCACTTTCATCTGCAACATGAAGTTTGATTCTAGCTCTTTTTGTTGTCCTGTAATCCGCAGTCGAAAAGAGGGTTTCAGACAAATACGTCAATGGCAGTCGATGAGTTAAAAACAGCAAAAACACTGAAATTGTTTGAAAGGGGGATTAAATACAAAATTCTTGATAAATACTGAACAATGGTCTGAATATTTGTTACTTGGCTAAAGGCTAAACTTTTGTGTGTTTCCTTTTGTTATGTTGTTACAGGATGTTGTTGATACTGTATCAGTTTGTACCGTAGTTTTTGTACTAATTTTTTTTTTTATATATTTTGTTCCTATGGATACTATCCGTTTCCTTGTACTGGGTCAGGTGAAATAAGTTTAACTTCAGCCTGAACCCTTCAGGCGCATATTGTAATTCTGGAACAATCTTCCTGAAGATGTGAGACAGGCCTCCTCTCTGACAATGTTTAAAACCAGGTTAAAGACAGTTCTGTTTAGCTGTGCATACAACTGAGGGATTTTATATTTTTATCTTTCTTTTTAATGTTCTGTGATTATTTATGATTTTAATGCTTTCTTGTTTTGTTCAGCACTTTGAGTTGCCTTGTGTATGAATTGTGCTATACAAATAAACTTGCCTTGCCTTGCCTAGTTCTGTTTTGTTGACAGTTAACTGCAACTTTGTTTGCTATGCTTTACCAAATAAACTACTACTAACCAGAACGTCAACAAGTGAGCAAGTTTGTGAACAACGCCCTGCATGTGTTTTTGCAGTCCAATTAAAAGCCTGTGACAAAGTAGGAGATTTTGCACATCTCTAGAGCCACTTTGGCCTAAAGCTTTGCAGGCTTCAAGCTCATCTCTGTCTGATTGTGTGGTTTTGTCCAGGGAAACACTGTTGCTAGAACCAGCTTTAACAAAAAACGCTGATTTCTCACTTTGCCCGAACTTTTGATTCCTTTCCAGATGCAGAAGTAGCAGGTGACCCAGCTGAGGAGGAGACACCCGGCCAGATCCCAGCGCAGGGCACCCATCTCCTCGATGCCCCCAGACAGGCTCAGAATGCGTCTCCTAAACAGAAGGTCATAAGTGAAATGTGAAAAATGTAAACAAATGTAGATTATAAAACTCACTGCCAGAATTCTTCAACGGACGACGTTGCGTTTGCAGGAAGTGACACGTTCCCAGATTGATGCAGTCGATAATCAATGCAGTTAACTATGAACAAGGAAAATAATTGAATTTCTGTTAATAGATGTATCAATCACAGTGGGAGGCTGTTCTCGGCCCACCCTCACTGCAAGAAGTTATGAAAAATAAGTTTTAAAAGTAGTACAAGAAATGTCTCCCATGGAATAAACAACGGCTCTGGAAACAAAACTAAACGGCTTTGTCTCATTGGAAAATCTTGAGAATGTACTCAATAAATATATAAACCCCTCGATTCAAGCAATATGTTTTGTCACTTTTTACAGCGCTCCCTAACCTACGTACAGACACTTTCACCTTTCATACTTGTTGTGTTGCAGTTCCATGGCTATTTACATTTTGTCTGATGTGTATCTGCGTTCACCTGTGTTCCAGGTGTTGTTGCAGCTGGCCCAGGGCAGCTCCGAATGAAAAGAGGAGAAGAGGTACAACAAGGCCCAGGCCAAAATGATGATGTAGTACATGACCGTGTAGAGCATGATGATCTGGCCTCCGTAGCCGATGCCTGCGAGAAGAAAAGATCAGAAATGAGTCAAGCAAGGGCGACACTTTGAATGAATAATATCCAGAGGTGGCTGAAATGGGCACAAGTCATTGATTTAAATGGGCAGACATCTTGGGTTTCTGGGGCTTGATCGTAACATCTATACAGACTACGTGCACGTTAGCATATGCTAACTCCGGAAGGAAAACTCATGTTGCATGCTTTGTTTCCGGTTACATTGGCAACGAGTCCTAACTACATCCTGCACTTGCAAAACTGCCCCTCAAGATTGTTAAGGTTAGCATTATTGGCGTTGTTAGCAGCTCTGGGCTGTTTACATCCTGTACCTGAGCTAAAGTTAAACAACCTCCTATAGCCCTGAGCTGTTTACATCCTGTACCTGAGCTAAAGTTAAACAACCTCCTTTAGCCCTGGGCTGTTTACATCCTGTACCTGAGCTAAAGTTAAACAACCTCCTATAGCCCTGGACTGTTTACATCCTGTACCTGAGCTAAAGTTAAACAACCTCCTATAGCCCTGGACTGTTTACATCCTGTACCTGAGCTAAAGTTAAACAACCTCCTATAGCCCTGAGCTGTTTACATCCTGTACCTGAGCTAAAGTTAAACAACCTCCTATAGCCCTGGACTGTTTACATCCTGTACCTGAGCTAAAGTTAAACAACCTCCTATAGCCCTGAGCTGTTTACATCCTGTACCTGAGCTAAAGTTAAACAACCTCCTATAGCCCTGGACTGTTTACATCCTGTACCTGAGCTAAAGTTAAACAACCTCCTATAGCCCTGGACTGTTTACATCCTGTACCTGAGCTAAAGTTAAACAACCTCCTATAGCCCTGGACTGTTTACATCCTGTACCTGAGCTAAAGTTAAACAACCTCCTATAGCCCTGAGCTGTTTACATCCTGTACCTGAGCTAAAGTTAAACAACCTCCTTTAGCCCTGAGCTGTTTACATCCTGTACCTGAGCTAAAGTTAAACAACCTCCTTTAGCCCTGTGCTGTTTACATCCTGTACCTGAGCTAAGCTGAGCGTTGAAAGAAGTAATATGAAATGGTTTTGTATAATGACATTTTGATACGTATAATTATGGTTGTTACAACTTTAAATGGTATGTTAATTAATTAATGTCTGTATTAATTATTATTATTGTTGCAGCTTTAAGATACTTTTGGCAAAATATAAACTGAAAATAGTGAAACATGCCACAGTGTACTAGAGTAGACAAAGATTCTATACATCTATATACATAAAGATATATCTATAGATTATATTTATAACACACGCACGCACGCACGCACGCACACACACACACACACACATATATATAAGCTGCAATCTGGATCGTTCAGGAAGCTGTGGAAACTTAGCATTTTGTTAAATCTACCTCCAGCAGTGCACAAGGAAAAGTAAAGCCATCTTTTCAATTGGAAATCCTGCATTTTTCACAGTCCATGCTCAGTAGCAAACGACCGAGACAACGCTACCGGAAACAAACGAGCCAACATCTGGTCTCAAACCTGGAAGTTAGCATTTTCAAGTGCACAGGGTCTATTGGCAAAGCTAAAATTTGGCCAACCAACTAGTTTGGCTACTATAAAGCAGGAGGCAGAATACACAATCACCTTCAAACAGCGGGCAGATCTTCCTCCAGCAGGTGATGCCTCCCTGACCGGTCATCTGCCCCAGAGACATCTCCAGGAAGAAGATGGGGATCCCACATGTGAGCAGAAACAGGACGTAGGGCACCAGGAACACTCCTGTGAACACACACATACTGTAGGATCAAAGGAACTATCAGTACAGTAGGTAATGTGTGTACAGTGTCTTCTGTGAATCTGCCCATGAAAATACCATTACAGAGGTATGTGCAGAACGTACTGAAGAGAAATGTATATTGAGAATGAAAAGTAAATACTGTAAATTATGATTCCCGCTCAAAATAATCTAAATCTAAATCAAAGGGGACATGGGGTGAGACCAACACTGTAAAAATGAAAAAGTAAGTTAAACTCAAAATTTCAAGGTAACTGGCTGCACGCGACTTCTGAGTTGAAGCATCAACTAAATTCTTTACGTTTTGAAGAACTACAATCATTCAGTTGTGTCGGTGTCTCTAGTTCTGCCAACTGCGTTTTTGTAATTCAAGTTACTGGAACTTTCAAGTCTGTAAAAACGTACTATTTAAAGTTCAGATTACAGTCCGCTGCAAAAACTTACTATTTTGAGTTTAAATTACCCCCCACATTAAATCATCCCGTTTTGACAGACCAAGGTCACTTGGGTAGGGGAAACCGGAGCACCCGGAGGACACCTATGCAGGCACAGAGAATCTGCAAATTCCACTCAGAAACGCCCTGTTCAGACCGGGATTCGAACCCGGGACCTTCTTGCAAAGAAGCACGAGTGCTATTCACTCAGCCCCCGTGCCACACACTCTGTAATGTTTCTTGAGGAAACTCGTTCCCTCAATAAAGATTAGTTTTATAAATACCATAAACATAACAATATAAGTTAATTAAACACAGTCTTTATTTACACTCATCAGCTCACAGACTAACTTACACATTGTTTTTACTAATCCGTTTTAGTTTCATAAATGCCATGAACAAAACAATACAAGCTCATTCAACAGTCTTAAGGTCCTGAACTCCAGAACTCTCAGATTGAGAAGTAACTCAGTTAGAGTTTAGTTTCTGTAAAGAACTGCGTTCAGGCTCATTGACCTTTGATCACAATTAGAACATCCTGAACGGTTGACCCAGGGACTAGGGGCTACTTTGGCTTGGCCCTGTTGATTACGGTTGGTCAAAATAAATACAATGATTTATTTGGTCAAATCAGTTGCAGCCGGTTGCCATGACAACTTTAAAATGAGCAAACGCAGATAAGTTGATCTCACTCTAACTCGGTGCACTGTAAAAACGACAACTCAAAATTATTCACCTTTACTAAGATTTTTGCATTCACTTGAACTGTCTGTTGTGGAACTCACTTTCAGAAGTTGATTAAGTTGATTTGACTTTAACTACAACCTCAAAGTAAAATGAACTCAATTTATCAAATAAGGTGAACTTTTCAGTAACTTCTGAAAGTGAGTTCTAGTGGCTCACAACAGACAGTTCCAACTTGCAATTTTATTGTCAGTGAACGCAAAAATCTTAGTAAGGTGAACAATTTTGAGTTTTTACAGTGAAGCAGAAAACATAAAATAGATACAATAGAATGGGGAGTGAGAGGAGTTTGTTCTCCCCGTGCCTATGTAGGTTTCCTTCAGGTGCTCCAGGTTCCTCTATCACTAAAAACAGGGATGTCAAAGTTGAATAAATTACAGGGCTCGACATTAACGGTTGTCCCCTTGCCCGGGGCAACTAAAGATTTGGGACAGGCAAGTGCGCTGTTTTAGCAAGTGAAGTATTACTTTAACCCATTCAATACTTCCTCTGGAGCCGGGAACAGACGCGTCTGTTTATCTTTTTTTGACCAATTCTCTTCCAAATTTTCCACGGATCCACAATTCCCGACTGTTTTCCGCCGGAAAATCTCTGTGAAATGTGTGACCACGGGCCCTTTCTGTTGTTTGCTCTATGTACTCAAACAATATTTGCAACCTCCGCTCTGACCCCAGGAGCAGGTGCGGCCGCTTTGGCAACAGCTCCACTGTGTCATTTTAAAGGGTGAAATAAGTCAAATCAATCAAAACATAAACACAGACGATAGGTTATGATCAGACATACCTCCTCCGTTCTTAAAGCAGAGATATGGAAACCTCCAGACATTTCCCAGACCAATGATTTCTCCAACAACAGCCAAAATAAACTCCCGCTTGTTGGACCACTGGCCTCTCTGCGGCGGCTTTGAAGACGGACTCAGATGAGAAACCTCAAAGTGTAAGGACTCCATGTGTAACTTTGATGCTGTAGAACATGAAAAATACAGTCACTGTCAATCCAACCTTAGTAAAGGGGTGCTCTGGGAAAAGTAGGAACCACCAACAAGGAAATTATTTGACCTGAATTTAGACTAAAGCCAATGTTTCGACCTCAGTCTTCATTGGAGCTTATTAAAACAGCACAATCTTAAATGAATGAATTATTATGGGAGAATTTGTAAATTAATGAAAAAAAAAGGTTATTTCTGTGTACCAAGCGCTTCTATGTGCTTGATTAAGATTAAGACATATTTTTTGTCAGTGTTGCATCACCAGTTACAGAACAGTAGGAATGAAGAGCACACAGCACAAGATAATGAACAATAACTCTATACTACAACATTCAAACCTCTAACTTTAGCATAATAAAGAAGAAAGTATAAAATCTCTAACTTTAGCATATTTTTCTTAAGAAAGGTCAGTGCAGACTCTTCATCCTCTTCTTTGATGTGAGCACATAATGTTACCAGTCTGTTGTAGCTAGTGCCGTGTTGGGCTCGCATGTTGGGGTCAGTCCGATCTCGAGAGACAGTAACAGCTCGACAGGCAGATCAGGAAATGTGTCTCTGTGGGAGCTGTGCTGGAGAGAAGGATGAGGGTTCTAATGCAGTGCATTCTGGGTAACTCCAGACCCCCTCTGCATGACTCTCTCTGCATGACAATATGGCCGCTCAGAGGAGTAACCAGAGCAACAGGCTCCTATCACTGCGCTGCCGAACTGAACGTTTTAAGACATCCATGGTTTCTTCGGATGTCAGACTGTACAACAGACCTGGATGAGTTTTCTGCAGCTGGACACCTGAATTTCTCCAAACAGGGATCAATAAAGTATCTAGCTACGTATCTATCTACTGTACATACAAAGGAGAAAATCTACAATCTCTAATCATTGCGTTTCAACTGTTTTTATTCAACAACTTTGTACTGTGGTGAGTCAGGACTATAAAAAATAGATTTAATTCAAAACGGAACATGGCTTTCTGGATGTGAAAAATCAATCAACATTTTCCAATTCCCTCCTGGAGGAATTTACAAATACGGTTGAATTCGCCAACACCGATCAGATCAGATATCGTTGAATGTTGAGTCTCGCGGATCATCCCCACTGTCCTAAAACCTCCTGCATTGGCTTTTGCAATGCTATTCCCAAAGAAAACATGCTAATATTTAAGAATGTTTTGGTAATAAAGATACAAAATGAGACTTTATTTCACAATATTATTTTCTAATAATCTCTCTCTTCTGCCATAAAGTAAGAATAAACACAACCAACTATAGCGAAACGTCTCCGATAGAAATAATGCAGCTTCTCACTTACAGTTGTAATTGGGGTCTTGGTGTTGCTGCAGTCAGTTGAAGCTGTGCTCAAGAGATAAGCAGAAAAAGTCCTTTCTTTAACTTTTTACACTAACCTGAACTTCTTGAATATATAGGAGGAAAGGGGCGGCCCAAACTCAGCTCAAGTTATTTTCCACTCTCTTCAATTGCAGCAAGTGGGAGGATTTAATTATCACATACACTGAAGCGAAAACATATGTGCAGCATTGGGAAAAATCCAATATAAAGCCATAAAGTCAAAGACAAGTGAGTGAGTTATGGTCCTGAAATGAAATGTGAGGAGTGGCAATTCTAAACTAATCTCTATTCTAAACATCCCGGTTCTCACGTGGCATCAATATAGTTCCTTGTTATGAAAATGTTGTTATGAAAATGTCCTAAAGTCCCACCAAGAGAACCCTTCATTTTGTCTGTTCAGTTCAAGCTTGAAAGGCCCATCAGAAGAGCCACCAGTGAGGATCAGGGAGCGATAGGAGACCGGACAGAGCACCGGCAGTCATCATCTCCCAAAACTGAGAGACCCCTGGACACTCTCAGACCATGTGGAGAAAGGCTCCACACAAAATGATAAAGTCTGAGGTAAAAATCACTTGAATCAATGGGAGACATTTCTTGTGTATCTTTTTATAACAACATATTATTGCTTTGTCCCATCGGCAAAGTTTTAAGGCAAAATGTGCTCAAATTTAGATACACTTTGCCAATTATTTGACTTGTTTTTCACCACGTTTTGCAGTGCATTAAGTCCGACATGACAGACAGGTGCAAGTCTACACACAGACTTGCACTTCAGTGAGAGGGATTTTAGCCTCCGGTTGGATTTCTATGGAGTGAACTCTGAGTTTAAGTTCAGTTTTGTGTCAGTCTCTGCAGTAACTTGCTCCACACGCTCTACTCTTCCCAAATTGAAAACGTTGCAGATTGAAGGTGTTTCCGTGTGTACAAAGAAGAGGATTCATACTTTTATTAGAAGAGAAATAATATGTAGTGTTAGAGACAAGAGCCAAATATAGATTGCAAAGATCAACTTTTCCAGTCAACAACCTTTTTCGCAAATGTGTGTGTGTCTGTCTGTGTGTGTCTGTTTGTCTGTGGATGTGTGTGGGTGTGTGTGTGTGTGTCTGTCTGTGGATGTGTGTGTGTGTGTGTCTGTCTGTCTGTGGATGTGTGTGTGTTTCTATTTGTCTGTGGAATGGATGTGCGTCTGTGTGTGTGTGTGTGTGTGTGTGTGTGTGTGTGTCTGTCTGTGGAGTGGATGTGCGTCTGTCAGTGGATGTGTGTGTCTGTCTGTGCGTCTGTCTGTGGATGTGTGTGTGTGTGTGTGTGTCTGTCTGTCTGTGGAGTGGATGTGCATCTGTCTATCTGTGGATGTGTGTGTGTCTGTCTGTCTGTCTGTGGATGTGTGTGTGTTTCTATTTGTCTGTGGAATGGATGTGCGTCTGTCTGTGGATGTGTGTGTGTGTGTGTGTGTGTGTGTGTGTGTGTGTGTGTGTCTGTCTGTCTGTCTGTCTGTCTGTCTGTCTGTCTGTGGATGTGTGTGTGTGTATTTGTCTGTGGAGTGGATGTGCGTCTGTCTGTCTGTGGATGTGTGTGCGCGTGTGTGTGTGTTAGTGTGTAATTTCTGTGTATTTCAGAATGCAAATAATTCAATTCAATTCAATTTATTCTTGTATCGCCCAAAATCACAACAGTAGATTTCAAAACCTTTGAAATCACCAACAGAAAATCAGAGAATCAAACCGTTCATGTCGGTATTGGTCCATAGGGAGAGTTGACCAATGTTGAAATACAGCTCTTGAGAGATGCAGGTGAGTGCATCAGGGGATCAAAAATGTTCTTCAAACTGTTAGCATTTAATCATGCTCTTTAAAGACTAATCCAAATAACACTAACAATTTAAACTTGCCAACTTGGATTTACGTGCAGCTGTCGAGGGTCAAAGTGTGTCTTTCTTACCTTTCTGACAATGTTTAAAACCAGGTTAAAAACGGTGCTGTTTAGCTGTGCATACAACTGAGGGATTTTATATTTTTATCTTTCGTTTTAATGTTCTGTGATTATTTATGATTTTAATGCATCTTGTTCAGCACTTTGAGTTGCCTTGTGTATGAATTGTGCTATACAAATAAACTTGCCTTGCCTTGCCTTGCCTTGCCTCCTTAACAGTGAAATCATCCGCGGTCATTTAAGGCTCTCTGCTATCACACTGCATACGGCTCTATCCGTTATCTGTATTCTCTGAGCTGGCCTCCAAAAGACACGGCACAGAGCTGATAAAGACATGGTAGCATTTCAGAGCCGCAGTGGAAATGTACTGGAAACACAACAGTAGATTTCCACAGGGTTTATCTTTAAATGTGAGAGGAAAATGTAGCTTCCCCTAACCACAAGGCAAGGCAAGTTTATTTATATAGCACAATTCATACACAAGGCAACTCAAAGTGCTGAACAAAACAAGAAAGCATTAAAATCATAAATAATCACAGAACATTAAAAAGAAAGATACAAATATAAAATCCCTCAGTTGTATGCACAGCTAAACAGAACTGTCTTTAGCCTGGTTTTAAACATTGTCAGAGAGGAGGCCTGTCTCACATCTTCAGGAAGACTGTTCCAGATTTTAGCAGCATGAATCTGAAAAGCAGCCTCCCCGTGTTTAGTTCTGACTCTGGACACTAACAGGAGTCCAGTCCCTGTGCTCCTCAGAGTCCGGGCTGGTTCATATGGGACTAACATGTCACTAAGTAATATATTTTGATGCGAGGCCATGGAGAGACTTGTAACAAGCAGAGCTGTTTTAAAGTCTATTCTCTGAGCCACAGGAAGCCAGTGCAGAGACCTGAGGACTGGACTAATGTGGTCGTACTTCCTGGTTCTAGTCAGGACTCGAGCTGCTGCATTTTGAATGTACTGCAGCTGTTTTACAGCCTGTTTGGACAGACCTGTGAGCAGGCCATTGCAGTAGTCTAACCTACTGGAGACAAATGCATGGATAAGAATCTCCAAGTCTGCTTTAGACACTATGTTTTTGATCCTGGAAATGTTTTTTAGATGGTAAAAAGCTGCTGATGTTACTGATTTGATGTGGCTATTAAAATGTAAGTCTGAGTCCAGTATTACCCCTAGATTTCTGACCTTGTTTGAAGGTTTTAGGGAGAGAGACTGTAGATGACAGATGACGCTCTCTCTTTGTTTCTGGGGACCAAATACAATCATTTCAGTTTTGTCTGCGTTTAGCTGAAGGAAGTTGTTTTGCATCCACTCACTGATCTGTTGGATACAGTGAAGGAGTGAGTCCACTGGTCCATGTTCTCCTGCAGTCAGTGAGACAAGGGGGCGCTGGTGTTACATGTTATGGTATCCAAATAACGGTTCCATGTCAGTGGGGGCAGGTCCCGGCTCAAAAGGTCCATGAGAATGTGCGCTGACATGCTGCAGTCTCACCCCTTGCCGGTGGGGGTGTACCCGGAAACAGAATTATCCAGTGCATTCTAACAACACATTTTTTCCTCTCGAAAACGTCTTAACAGGATGGTCCAAAAGTTGGGTCTTGGCCCAAAGCTACGTTCCAGATGATGTTGAAGCTGAGGGGGGATTTTTTCCTTTGGACCAGCCTAGTTTAGCCTCTGTGGAC